CCTATGTTAGACGGTTTAACCACATTAGGAAACACAAGCCAGGTGTTTTGGGGTAAGGCCTAACTAGCAGATGTGCTCAGATTAGCTTCAGATACAGCCCTTTTTTAGCGGAGAAGAGGAAAAGTGCCTGCCCATTCTTTAGAGTTTGCTGGTGCAATTAGACTAGAAAGGTTAGAAGCAGAAAGGAGAATATATTCTCATTTCTGTCTCCCAGCCCAAGTCAAAACATGAAGAGTTCATGAGACAGAGACAATGGTATATTGCAGTGGCACCATCACGGAGAAACTCTACCTCCCAGGACACTCAGAGTAGCTTCTACTCTGACTGTTGGTCTGTTCAGACTGTTCAGTGCTAGATAAAAGTCATTGGGTCATACTGAAACTCTAGGATCTTGAAACTCCATCCTCAAAATTAGCAACATGGTGCTTGGAGAAAGTTATATGAATGTGTAAGCTTCATTTACATTACTGAAAGCATGTTTCTATGACAAACATATTTCCTTGGAGACATTTCGCAAAATGTCAGGTAAGTATTGTGACTTAAAAGTAAGACAGAAAGAAAAAAAATCCAAAGAAGTTTTGAATTTCTAAAAAAAAAAGAAAAAGAAAAAACTCTAACTAACATTTCTAATTGAAAAGCACAGTGTGTGGTGTTAGGAGAGTAATTCCCCCTAATACAGAACATCTGGGTTCTATGAAGAATACTTAGTCATGACAAGCTGCATGTTGGTTTACCATTAATACACATAGATGGATAAAATCTACAATATCATCTTAGTACAGATCTCTCTGCTTATCTTGTATCATCAGCTGATGACTAATTTTGTACATGTAGACAGAATGGTACCTTAGATCTATACAGATCCACACTGAGCATGGCAGTGACAGCTGTAAGCCACTAATTGCTGACTCAGTTATTGAAAAGGACTCTTCATGATCAATCTTCAGAGTATGTGAAAGACCATTGGGCTTCTTTAATTAACAGAACCTTGTTCGAGTTACAGAAAAGAACAAGATGAATTCCCCCTGCACAAGACCAGATACTGAAGGATTTTTTCCTATTTCAAAACTGTAATTCAAGAAGTGATACAAAACTCCTGCTAGTAAAGAAAACGTACTGTGCAGAGTTTGTGTAGCGAGGCTTTGAACTTCGCACATGACCAAGTGTGATTAAGTCCACGCTGGCATTGTCAATGTCTTCAAAATTTACTGCACCAACACAGCCACTGTTTGGATAGAAAGGAAATCAAATATGTACATTATTCATAGCACAGCTGGTGAAGGCAGCTGAACCACATACTGCATGCTCCAAAATTCTAGTTATTTATTAAAGTGGTCTACGAGAAAATGCATGGAGATGAACTGTCCTGCTAGCCTGGTGTGTCCCAAGATGAAAACAAACATCTGCTGAACTTGCAGCACACAGCAAATGACAGCTCTAATATATATGAGCAGAAAGGAGCTACCCACAAGCAGAGAAGACTCAACACTTCCCCTCCCTTGGCACCAGAAGAGACCTTAAGAATAGATCCCATAGTCGATGTACAAGTCATGCCATAGAAAATGGGACAGATGGGTTGCTTGGGCTAAATCAAAAATGTAGAACGTGGAAAGGACCCAAGGAGACTGTACTTACGTATAGGAAGGGATATGACAGGTTCGAGAGCTTGGGCTTACACTGTTGAAGACAAAATATATCAATCAATCACCTTTTTTTTTTGCCAGACAGAATAATCCAGTAGAATATTTATGAGGTCCCAAAAGAGAGGTGGTGAAAAAGCCACAGTTTTTCTTTTGGAATGATGACTGCTCATTTGAATTGTGGCAAAAGACCATGATAAATGATTAGGTCGGCATATATGTTAAATGACCTAATTCAGCAGGCAGTCTCACCTTTTAAACCCCACCCCCAGGTATGGACTTCAGTTTCTTAGTGTAAGAAAGTTTCCTTTGAAAAGGCACTCTCTTCCTGCAGCACTTCTCATATGCAGTTTGGGGGAATTACTGGAAAATTTAACATTGGGCTTAAATTTTCTTCTTGCTCTGTCTGAAGCATCCAAGAAATGATAAGGATAGTATGTTCTCTCTCCCTGCCACCTTGCACAGATGCTTGCCTCTCTCATTGATTGACAATTCTGCACAGTAGTGCACCCATCTATTGAGTTTGCCCAAGCAAACCTGTTGGCTTATAGTCTGGAAAGCAGGCAAGTTCTAGTCCTCCTACCTTGCTTTGACCACGTCTCTACTTGGCTCACTAGCTGAGCCCATCTGACCTTCCTCTGCCTCGCTTTACCAAGCTAGATGCACTCTGAGATCATTAGGGAGCCTATAGAGCACAGAAAAAGCCTGGAGTTTGTAAATGTGTTTGGTGGTGTCTTTGTAAACACATTGTCTCGCTGAAAACATCAGATGTATGCAGTCATGACATAATATTTAACCTTACAGATTTCTTCCAATTCTTCTCTCTCTGGAAAAGCATTTTGGAGGATACTTTGACTAAATATCTTAACTTCTCTCCTTAGAGAATGCTGCTGAGATCAGTCTGCGTGCAGACTTCATTAAGAGGAAATATTTAAGAGGACTCTCATATTCACAAGAAATGATACTTACAAAACAACAGGTCTCTGTGGAGAGGTAAAAGATCTTGTCTGAAATCTGTCCCAGAGGCCTCCAACAACCTAAGACCATATCAAATGCTTCTTGTATGGCAATATCACCTAATTAATTTGGCTTAATAGAATTTCATGTGGCTACCTCCAGTGAGATAAACTCACATGGGAAGGATGATCTGTGCAAAAACAATTGCAGGACTGAATTTTAGCTTATTAAAAATAATTATTACAAATCATTATCACAAATAAAATAATTCAGCATGATATTTGTTATGCTACAGCATCATTCATATGAATCAGTTTTTCACTGATATTCTTGTCCTCTTTTCTGTTACTGCACCTGTCATTCTTCCGCACAAATTTCCAGTTTATAGGCAGAAAAGGGAAAAAAAATATTGAGCCATTTGAGGCAATTATTGGAGTGTTCTGTTGACTTCAAGTGCTCACTTGGGACTGTTTTTTTTGAAATCATTACTGTGGGTTTATGTGTATGATCGACACAAAATATAGGCTACACTTCATTAGCAATATCTATAAACAGTTTACAAGAAGTTGTTCACTGACTTGGCTTAATTCAGACTCAGAATTGTATCTCTTTCTTGTGAAATACTGGGAAACAGGATCAGCCATCACTTCTACTGTTGTTTCCGGTGGCTGGATTTTGGGAGGCAAAATATTATCCCAAGGAACTTCTTCATAACCTCTATATCAACAATAAGACACAAGAGAAAAGGTTTCCAATATAATCATTATTGAGTACCAACTTCAGCTAAACAATATAAAATTCTGTGATAAATACAGATGTGGAAAAAGTAAATGTCTTTCTAGTTTAAAGGAAAGTGAAAACCCTGGAATTGTATATTACTTACTAGGGAACAAATAACTATGGTTCGCTTTTAAGGCTTCTCTTATGTAAGACATCACTCCGTAATTGGAAGTAGTAACTTATCTTGCAATAAGCATATTGTGCTGATGGGATTTATTTTGTCTAGGCTTGAACAGTCAGTTAAATGAGAATGGACTCTTCTAAATGGAGATTAGATACCAGTCACACCAAGCTCATGACAGGCAATGAAGACATATGTACCGAAACCCCTCTGGAAACTCCAGTCTCTCTCCACTGCCCGTAGAGGAAGTAGAGATGTTTTGCACAGATTGAATACAAACTTTTAGGTAACTAAAGCTAGTGAGATGAATTCTATGCAAATAATTGTCGTTACAATGCCAGAAGTTCAGAATGGTAGAAAATTTGATTGCATTCTTACTTGCCCAGCTCCCTAAAGATGCACAACAGCAAACAGTGATAAAAGATGAAGTAAAACACAGACAAAAACTGTTCTTAAAAGAAATAGTCTCTCACCTTTGAGTACTTGAACTGTAGAAATACTTCCTTGCTTTTTCTTCTCTCCACCTTGCAGAAAGATCATTTGATTTCTAAAAGAAACGGTTGAATAGAGAGCTGAAGGTGTTGCTATCAGCATGCTATTATTGCTTGTTCAAAGAGTACATATCTGTGTTCTCCTAGTTTAGAATCTAGTTTTGCATCCAAATGTGAAACATAATTTCACATTCTTCACTAACCAACACCAGAGAGCAAGAGTGGATCTATTTCTGGGAATTTTAGTTATTAAGTAAAATGTAATATAGCGAAGAGAGGTTTAAATACTATACTACTATGTATTTGCCTCTCTGCTCTTCTGGAATGTAGGTTCCCATCTGCTATGTTACTTATCAAATGGCATAGCAAACGTGCACTTTGGAGTCCCCTAGAAACACCTGATGGATTGTGTGACGTTCACTGATATTCAGGTGGTCCAACTTAAAGAACTCTTAATATGTGCAACATTTTAAGTACTAAGAATAACATGCTTCCTGTTGAAGGATGCATTATACCATTACATTCTCACTAATGAAAAGACTTAATTAGACTAGTGCCGTGGAAGCATGAGTGTCTTATTATTTACTAATTTATTTGGGACTTGCCCCAGACAAGGCAGTATCTAAGCATTATATATGGAAATACATTCAATATGGGCTTGCCTAAATATTAAAATAATAATTTCAACTGTACTTTTGGAGTTTTTGCATATTTCTATTTGTTTTTTTCTTTAATTCTGTCTCCAGTTACACATAAATAATATCAACAGTACCAGTCCTACACTACAGTCTAAGCAGCCAGGGGAAATACAGAAAAAACAAGAATGGTCACAGCTGAAGACTGATTAGAGTCAACGGTTACTGTGTAGCTTCCTGAAATACAGCGCTAATTTCATGATATCCAATGGAAGATGTGAAATAGTAACCACTGGCAAAAATAAGTTAAATGGAAAACAAACTAGAAGCAACATAATTTAAATGTTTTGCATCATTACAAGAGCACCAGACCTCTTACCTTGAGAGTGGGATTCACATGAAATGCAAAAATATGGTTTTGGTCTGGTAAAGCAGAAGCATCTTCAACCAGAGTCTTCCAACCTGAAAGAAGGGTTTCCTATTGTGTTAATCAATTTTCAGCAATCTTTAGTTTTAAATCAAATGAAAACAACCCACGGCTTCCCATAAAAATCCCAAGTTCATTTGAACACCGGATTTCATTTACCTATTGTCACCACTTTGAAAGGAATTAAATATTTTCACAAAGATATATTAAATTACATTCAAGATGACACTAAGTGCTAAATAATGTCACAGCAGACATTGCTCTGATTTGCACAGCTTCACATATTGCCATGCCTGCTTGTACACACATGCTGGTAACTAAGTTTGCTGCTGCCAAACAGAAGGAATGGTAAAATGCCTGAGCAGCATCTCTGTCATAAACACTAATAAGACTAAATAAGTCTTTCTTCTCCCCAAACTTGAATCTTTAAAAAACTTGCAGGCATGCAATGCATCTTTGATACATATATGTCCCTGTCAAAAATTTGCCAGTGAGGGCAGAAGTTATCGGGAGATCAATAGATAGATGTACAGGATAAATGAAACCAAGTTGTTCCTTTAGGGAAACAGGGTCAGAAACATAGCAATTCTGTAAGTAAGGTAAGGGATATTTATAAGAGCATCATCTAAAGAGCTGTATCATTAAGTAGCATAATGCTTTGATGACTTTGGGAAAGGTGCACTTCTGCATAGCGTTGTTATACATTGTCGATAGAGTAAAAAAAAGGGTAAGCAAACATATAGCCATAAGACCATTTTCTGTGGACACCGGGAAGTCTTAGTATCCAGAAAGTACTACTAGTTTTCAACATTCTTTTTAATTCCGAACTCCATAAAAAAATCCATTTCATATGAAAATCTCTATTTATCAACTTAGAGCTAACTCATAATACCGTTGCTTTTCTTAGTTAACCGTAGAAATTTTTGGTGTGCTTTGGAAAAAAAAGTTCAAAGACTAAAACTTGAAAACCACTGGGCACAATGCAAAGTTAGTTCTTGCCCCAAAGAACTAATCATTCAAAGTTTAAAAGAAAATCACAGTTTTCAGCAGACACTAAGATTATTAGTATCCTAATGCTATATATAGTACTGAAATAGCGTGGCCTGTTTTATAAAAGAACGTAATGTGCAGTGTGACATAATTCAGTTGATGCTTTCGAGAAACTTAGAAAGAATATGAGGAACTTGGCACCATGAAGAATTTTCAAGCTGAATTACTGTCTAATTAAAACATTTTCCTTTAGAAGATCTCTCCTAAGTAAGCAATGACCTTTAGTAAACATGGTGGCTGCATCTTCATTGTCTTAGTGCAATGTAAACTTTAAATGCTCTCTGAAAATTTATAAGATTTTTGTAGGGATGTTTCTATTCAGTTTTATTTCTGAAATGTTGTAATTGCTTAATAGGTATTTAATATACTAGTGTCCTCTACACTAAAGAGGCAGATACGGTCATATATGTGCATATGTCCTAAGAGTTGCATTAAGATAGTGCTACTCTGGTTTATTTATTAAAAGGGCAAAGGTTGCAACCATTATTACTTGTGCTGCGTATGTAAAACACTCATGTCAGCTCTAGTGTCCATAGCAGGACATGATATAATTTTACACTTGCTCTGGTAATTGTACATATGAATTTCTAGAGACCTTTGCTCTTCCAGTCTATGTTGTACTTTGCTATCTTCACACAATTGTCCTACTGCTGGGATGATTAATCTTCTAAATTTTATTTATTCTTTTACCTTCAGTGGAGAAATGCAGCGTAACAATGATGATAATTATTTAAGTCAACTTTTTAGAGGCTTCAGTGCTGCTGCTGCTCAGTACACAGGCTTGAAAACAGTACAGTCTGTTCTGGCCCAAGATGGGAACTCAGTGGCTTTGCCACTTTTAACTACCAAAAGCTCAATGATACCTTCAGATCCATGTTATTATTTTAGCTAGTCATCCTTTTTCCTTTTGCATTCTGAGCCAGAGGCTGAAACTTCAGACTCATTCAGTCAGACTTTAGAGCTGTTTCCCAGAAACCATGAAAGCCAGAACAAATTTTGTTTTGTTTTTAAAGTAAAAATTGAAATTCTCAATGTCACAGCAGAAAGACTTATGTAGAGAGGATTCACAAAATAAACAAAGTCTCATAAGCTTCTTTCTCTGTACCTCATTCGCACCTGAAAATTGTGCACTGTTTTTGACACTGTATCTTTTTAAAAATCAGTAGG